AACGCCTATTCCAACAACGTGAGCAGAATCTATTACATTTCAAAATCTTCTAGGTATACAGGTAGCCTCGGAAATGTATAAGGACTTAACAGAAATCCAGTCTTGTATTTTTTTGACAGTGGTCCAGTCTTGGATTTGCACAAAGTGATCTCCACTGTACTATACTGAACACACTTTGCTCTTCTGTTATATGTGGGCATGAGAAGGAACCATCAAACCCTGAAACACTATCACCAGCCCCGATACTGTTTCCCTAACTCACCAAAAGCAGGGCTGGGGTGTAACCTGAGAGGTCTTGTAGCCCAGCACTTTCATCTAATGCAGGATCACCGTTATGAGACGTTCAGGAAGTAGATCAAGTTACCTGGAGGTAATGAGCCTTCCAATTGCTAGTGATAAATAACCACATTGGCAAATTAAAATAAAACACGTCAGACAAAACTTTGCTAAAAAAGTGGTAAGCAACTGGTTTTTAACACTAAGCTCTAGGTTTTACATCCTCCTGAGGAAAATCAAACCATTTCTTAGGACTGGTGAAAGGATTACACAGCCCCTCCCAGTACCTGCTATTCCAGTGCTTCGCAGCCCTTATCAATGCAAGGCTGACACAGCATCTAACTTAAATTTCTCTTTGTGCAGCCAAAGCTTGCATATTATCTTTCTTTTAAAGGGCATGCATGAAGATTAACTGGCTGTTATTCTCCTATTCCTATTGTGTTAAGATAATTTCTCATGGTTTGCATTTTCTAGGTCTCTTAATATTTTTAAAGCCATTCTGTGGACTGTAAACTGTGTGCCAAAGCAAGCAGGGCACACTGCTCCAGCTGCTCTCTGAGTGGTACCTCAAGACCAGAAGCACACGTAACCCCTTTGACATATCTATGACACTTCACACATAAGAACTTTTTTTCTCTTATTTAGAACAGCTACAACGCTGCTGACAGAGTGATCCCCAGGTATCTGTTTTGCAGTCTGTCGTCTCTTATTTTATGTTTGAAATGCTGATTTTCTTTCCCTTAAGCATTGTAACTTACTTACCGGATTTTGCCATATTGATTTCTGGCCATTATGTATCCCTCTCTCAAAAACACTTTAAATCATAAGCCTGTTCTTCAAAGTTCCTCAGTGTCACATGAAAATTTTACAAGAGTATTCTCTGTTCTGGCAATTAATGAAAGTATTGAACAGTAATGGAGCTGGGACAAAGAGACAGCTCTGTAGGTAAGACTATCCTCCTACTTTGACACAGAACTTAAAATTACTCTTTAGAGCAATACATTTCCATTTTATGCTGATTTCTTCTTAGTTACCTCTATCTAGTTTACTTACAAGAACGTGGGACAGTATCAGAAGTCTCACTGAAATGAAATCACATACACCTCATTTAGTGTCCCCTTCTCTGCACAGGGAGCTAAGACCTTAAAAAATCATCTTAAATGACGGGAATACTGTAGACATACCAGGTGAAAATGTGGTATCTTTGACCTTAATTTCATAGAATCACAGGATGATAGATTCACAGAGTCACGGAACAGCTAGGGTTGGAAGGGACCTTAAAGGTCCCGCAGTTCCAACCCCCTGCCTGGACACCTCCCACCAGACCAGGTTGCCCAAAGCCCCATCCAGCCTGACCTTGAACACCTCCAGGGATGGGGCATCCACAGCTTCTCTGGGCAGCCTGTGCCAGTGCCTCACCGCCCCCTGAGTGAAGAATTTCCTCCTAACATCTAATCCGAATATATCCTTTTCTAGTTTAAAACCACCCCCCTTAGTACTATCACTATCTGACCAAGCAAAAAGTCACTCTCCATCTATTTTATAAGCTCCCTTTAAGTACTGAAAAGCTGCAATGAGGTCACCCCAGAGCCTTCTCTTCTCTAGGAAGAATACCCCCAGCTCTCTCAGCCTTTCTCCATAGGAGACGTGCTCCAGCCCTCTGATCATGGCCCTTCCTCTGGACCCACTCTAACAGCCCCACATCCTTCTTGTGCTGGGGGCCCCAGCCCTGGATGCAGCACTCCAGGTGGGGCCTCACAAGGGCAGAGCAGAGGGGCACAATCACCTCCCTCCCCTGCTGGCCACTCCTCTGTTGGTGCAGCCCAGGACCCAGTTGGCCTTCTGGGCTGCAGGCACACCCTGCTGGTTCGTGTCGAGCTTTTCATCCACCAGAACCCCCAAGTCCCACTCTGCAGGGCTGCTCTCAGTCAGTTCTCCCAGTCTGTGCTCATGTCTGGGATTGCCCCAGCCCAGGTACAGCACCTTGCACTTGGACTTGTTGAACCTCATTAGGTTCACATGGGCTCACTTTTCTAGCTTGTCCAGATCCCTTTGGGTGGTATCCATTCATTCTGCTGTATCAATTGCACCACTCGGCTCGGTGTCATCTGCAAACTTGCTGAGTGTGCACTCGATCGCACTGTCTATGTCACTGATAAAGATATTAAACAGCACCGGTCCTGAGACAGATCCCTGAGAGACACCACTTGTCACCAGCCTCCACCTGGACACAGAGCCATTGAGTTTGTAATATCATATCTGATTTTTGTATAATGCTTTGCAAAGCCTATTCTTTGAGTCAAGCTCATGTATCTTTTCCTTGTATCTCATTAATCATGAAATATGATGAGGAGTGCACGTTTTTTGTCTTGGAAAACCTCAGCCCATAGGTCCTGTAGAAAAGCCAGTTCAAGGCAGACTTGCAGGGGAAACCCTAAGATCACAGCGAAAGGAACAGGCAATGGCAACAAGAGCTCATCATTGACATTATTCAATTCTAGTGAGGAAGACAAAAATAAAGAACCAAAATTCTGCTTTTATTTGTTCTCATTACATGACTGTCTCAGAACTGCATCTTTCCAACAGAAATCTAAACAGAAAATGCAATTTTCATAAATTCCATGGGTGCTTCTCTAGAACTGCCAAATGTTGGTAACAAACCTAACTGCAGAAATCACACAATCCAAGTCCAATAGCTACAGCTGGCTGCAGCATTTCAGCCATGTCACACCAGATGCTAGGCAGTGGCATGAAGTCCGGGTATCAGATCATTCTGCTCTACAGTTGCAGCAAATCTCCTGTGCTTGCAATTGCCCTGAAATCAGTGCGTGCCCATCTGCCCCAGGGGCAGGTACAAGGCAGGGTTATTGCAGCAGCAATACCCAGGATTGCAGGTGTCTTATCATCACACCCCCGCCTGTTCGCTGCACACTTCCAACCAGAACACTCTCTGAATGGCTATGTCCTCACTCAGACACAGAGTAGACCAACAGGAGTATGTTTATAAAGTAAAATAGCTGGCACTGAGGATCTGATGTCCATGCCATAAGGACTTCAGAAGGTTTTACACCAAAATGGTTTCAGTACGGGCTGAACGCTCGTAACTGTACCAGTGTGTTCCCAATACATCTGCTTTAGGGTCATTCAAAGAATTCATTTCATGTGCTCCAGAATGGCTCTGTGATGTGAACCAGAGCTCGTCAATGAGGAAAAACTTGCTCAAATGCATACTGCTGATCTAAACTAAAATGCTCACTAAAATACACTCGCACCTGATGCTGCTAAAGGGTGCTGAAGTCTTTGCATTCATTAGGTCTGCCATTCCCTTTGCAAAGAGCTGTACTGGGTTTGTTGCCAAGACCCTCCTCCGACTGCGAGCAGGAGACAGCAAGTGGCTAAGGCGTACAATTGAGGCATTCATGGCAAAGAAATGAGTTCAGCTGTGCGAAGATTTTGAAAATCACCAAGTAATTTATTTGTGCAAGGTTTACCTTTGTGAAATTGAACTGATTTCACGTTAGTCTTTTAAGCTGGGTTGTGATCAGCTCCCAGTTGTTGGTGGAGAAATTGTGCAAAGCGCAGATCATATTGAGCCACTGACGTTAGTGCAAATATAATGCTGCAACATAGTGCACAATGGAGAGATGGATGCCTCCATCTAGTTTCCCGGGCACGCTTCAGGTCTGAAGCAAGAGTGTTTTAGCTCAATATTGAGCATGTGCTAATAAATCTTTCCAGGGATTATCTAGCTCTTCACAGGGCCAACCTGTGAACACTTCCACTGTACTGCAGGTCTGGGTCCACCAGAAAATGTGCTACAGAGATACCCAAGTGGGTGCAAAAAGAGGAAATGTGTGTGCTGGGCAGAGTTTAGTGCCAGTCCTGTTGACTCAGCAGCAAAGGCAGCAGTGATCTCCTCAGCAGGGCTGGGAAGGTGGAGAAGCAGGATGAGGCCCTAGATGTAGGGGAGAACGGGGGAGATGGCAGCCAGAGGGCAATAAGAGGTTGTCTCAGGCCTGGGAGGGGTGAGAACAAAGCAGTGGTTGTGGCAGCAGCCCTGGGCATGGGAGGGAGAGGAGAGGAGGTGGAGAGGAGATGGTGACAGTGATTAGCTCTCCTTGCCTCTCCTGGCTGCATTCCCCTTGCATTTTCCAAGGGCTTTAACCCACTGTGAGCTGCACTCCAGGAACAGGCAGGGCAGCTCAGGGGCAGAGCTGCCATCGCCTGCTTTGCCACCTTTCCCTGCAACCTGGAGCGCCAGGAAGGTGGTGCAGATACCCCACCAGCTCAGCGGCGCTGACCTCACGTAGTTGTGTTTCTCGGGGTGTAGCCTGCATCATTTGGGTTTATGGACTTCTCGATGTCCCAGTCCCGAGCCACCTGAGATAAAAGAGAAGTCACTGTCTGATCTCGCTTTTCTAAAACCTGTACTTACCCTAGTGTTTCAGAGCACAGTTCAACAGACATTTCTCAAGCACGTTGGCTGATTCCTTTGGTTAAGAAAACTGCCAACAGATTTTCCAGCGCTCCTGAGAAACCAAAGTAATCTGAATATACTCAACTAAAATGTTGCAATGTGAGATTCTGTATTCAGGTAATGATTCGCCCTGCAATTCTTAAGTAGTATACAGAGATTATGAGTTTAAAAGAAGATGGCATTACACTTCTTTCCCAACTGCATGTGTTTGCAGCTACTTTTACTCAAGTGATAAGGAAGAACGTAACACAAATTCCTTGCATTTGCACTACACACTCAAAACGTTTTAGGCGAGTTAATCCCCAAACTATTATGTCTGTTTAGGCTAAAAATAGCCTGTTATTTTTCCTCTGGCAACCTCAGTCAAGAGCGTGGCTCCGCCGTTCAAGCAGGGGCCTGCACAACTCGGAGCCAGCAGCCAGATGCAGCCTGCAGCGCGTTTTATCCCCCTGGCACGGCAGACGCCCAGACAGGTTAGTGCATTTTAACAAGCTGCTGGCACAACCAGTTGCTGCTGCTGGTAAGCGACCTTGCGGAGGCTCTCGCAAGCACGGCTGCTCCCAGATAAGGCCCTCTGCGGCGAGCAGGGGAGCAGGAGGAGGTGCAGGGAAGGCTGGCAGGGTGCGTGCTGGAAGCAAGAAGCGTGGGGAGCGCAAGGTGGAGGAGCTTTGGGAAACAGAGCTTAAAATACGAGGTTGGCTGGTGGATGGTGTGCATCCCCCGTGGTTGTGCCAGGGCACGGGGTGAAGGTATGGCAGCAGGGTGGCACTGCACATCCCGGCCACCTGCAGCCCCACTAACACACCCTGCAAGGCAGGGGCTGCGTCCTGGGAACGAAACCCGGGTATCACCGCACACACCTGCAGGTAAACCCATCAGGGTAAACCTAACAGGTAAATCGAAACCCTTCACGAGACACCTGATGGCTTGAATCCCGCAGGCCTGCTGTTTGCAGCCGGGAGGTTTATTTCAGCCTCCTTACCCCCAGCTTTCCCCCCTCCCTGCCTTTCCCACCCCGCGGCCGCGCACGGCGCCCGGCGGGCACCCCCTCCAGGCTGCAAACCCGCTGCTCGCCCCCGTCCCTTTGCACGGAGCGGGGCGGGCGGGGGGGCTGCATCCCGGCTGCCTGCGTGCCCCCGGTACCTTGTAGTGTCGGAAGCCGTCCAGCTGCCGGGCGCTGACATACCGCCGCCGCCACATCGCAACGCAGCGGGCGGGGAGGGGAAGGGAGGGGAGGGGAAGGGAGGGGAAGGGCCGGGCCGCCAGGGGCGGGCACCGGGGGCGGCTCCTGGCGCCTGCCCCCCTGCTGGTGGGTCTCGCACAGCCCTTCGTCTCCCCCTGTGGCTGTGGTTCAGGGGGCGTTGTGGTGGTGGGCGCTGAAACTGGTCTGCTGGTGGGCCCTGAAAGTGGTTTTCTGGCTGACTGGTTCTTTCTGGGCTCCGCGTTGCAGGTGCGGTGGTTGTAGGATGCGCCACGGTTGTAGGATGTGCCACATCGTTTAAACTGGTGTGCTTCAGAAACCAGAGATACTGAGGAGTGGAGATTTTGCAAGCAACAGCCCGCGTACTGCATCTCTCGCAGAATGACTGAGGTTGGAAAAGACCTCTGAGATCATCCGGTCCAACCCTCTTAAACTCTGTTCAAGCACCTGCACCAGAGATCCGCACCAGCCTGCTGTGCTGCTCATTCTCCCATGTGCCTGGTGACAGGACAAGGGGGAACGGGCTAAAGTTGTGCCAGGGGAGGTTTAGGTTGGATGTTAGGAAGAGCTTCTTTACCGAGAGGGTTGTTAGACATTGGAACAGGCTGCCCAGGGAGGTGGTGGAGTCACCATCCCTGGAAGTCTTTAAAAGACGTTTAGATGTAGAGCTTAGGGATATGGTTTAGTGGAGGACTGGCTAGTGTTAGGTCAGAAGTTGGACTAGGTGATCTTGGAGGTCTCTTCCAGCCTAAACAATTCTGTGATTCCTGCTGATTCCCAGAGAAGGGAGGCACCGCTGTGGGCAAGGGGCTGTGAAAAAACGTGGAGCCGCCTTTCAGCTGCAAATGCCTGAGAGCATATGGCTTGACACCTTGCGTTACCTTTGCTGCAAGCTATTCGATGGAGAGTTGAAATCATGTACATCACGGCTGAGATCCCATTAACCAAAGGGAATCTATCCAGAAACAAAATCAATTAACATCCATTACTCAGGGCCTGTGAGTGCTTCCAGGCACCTAATGTATTGTGAGAGCCAGTGTTATTTTACAAGCTCTGCAGGTTTGATAGGAATTATATACAAGTTAAAATAGCTAAGTGCAAACAGTATACAATTGTTCTCTATTATTAATTACACATTAATCATTTGAGACATTCTTACATCCACATACTGCTTCTAATAGCAGTGTTTTCTTCCAACTTCAGCTCTTGGAAACAACCAAAACTTAAGTACTGAGCTTCAGATTACTGAGTTACTGCTTGACTCCAGTTAGGAAAGCTAAAGTATTTGGATCCAATAACTTCCAGGAACCAACTCCTGAAATGAACGTGCACTCATACACTGGATTTTGATTTGGGATTCCTTTCATCTCTCAGTGTTACTATCGTGTTTTGAAGTCGTATCATGTTATTGAATTAATTTACATGGGTGTTTGAGAAGAGACCCTGCCATAGTCAACAGAGATTTTTTTATGCAAGTAGGTTGCCAAAACTGACCCAACCATTTTCTAGTTATCGCTTTCATTTTCTAACTTAAACACACATAAGCCTCAAACATGAAAGCAGAAATGTAACAGAACAACTGTGAGGAGTGTGATAGACAGTGGTAGAAAAGACACGTGCTTTTTGAATGCTATGAGTTCACAAACTATTTTTTCTCTCTGCAGACCTCTAAGTGCATCTTAAAAAGAAGAATTGCCATCAGGAAGATACTGATATAGAAGATATATATAGTAGTTACAGAGCACAAGCTATATTTCCCGTTCTTCCCTGAAAACTATCTTGCTGATAAGCACTTTAAAAATAATAATAATAATAACAAAAGGGGTCAAATACTCCACTAACCAGAGAATGCAAGAGACTGCCTATGTGTAACAACGCAATTGCATGAATTTACACCTCAGCATGTTCTCTGTCTGCTAATCACCACATCAAAGCAGGCAGCTTTACTCTGCTATACTGAGCAGAGGGAAACAGGCTAATGACTGGGCATGAAACATCACAGAACAAGCCACGACATAAGTAATACTACATTTGAGAAAACTGTGGAAGTTATACTGACATGTGCTAGTCATTGATTTAAGAAACTTTCTTGATTTGGGGCAAACTGAGGACATTCATAAACCCATGGGTCCTGATGGGGTGCATCCATGAGTGCTAAAGGAACTGGCAGGTGTGATTGTGAAGCCACCCTTGTAATCTTTGTTCAATTGTGTCAACTGGGAGAAGTGCTCAAAGTGGAGGAAAGTAAATGTCACTCCCACCCTCAAGAAGGGCCAGAAGGAGGACCGAGGGAACTACAGGCCAGTCAGCCTTATCTTCATCCCCGGGAAGGTGATGGAACCTAATGATGGAACCTAAGCTAATCCTGGAAACTGCTCCCAGGCACATGAAGGAAAAGAAAATCATCAGGAGTAGTCAGCACAGATATTGTCTACCTGGACTTCATTAAACTCTTTGCTGCCATCCCCTATGAGCTTCTCACAGAGAAGCTGTTCAAGTTTGGACTGGGTGAACAGACAGTGAGGTGGATTGAAAACTGGCTGAACATCCAGACTCACAGGGTAGTGGTCAGTGGCACAAAGTCTTCTTGGAGGCCAGCAATGAGTGGAGTACCCCTGGGGTCAATACTGGGTCCAGCCTTGTTTAGAATATTCATTCGTGATCTGGACTGTGTGGTGGAGTGCACCCTCAGTAAATGTGCAGACAACACAAAACTGGGGGAAGTGGCCGGCTCACCGGAGGGCTGTGTAGGTGAAGACGGGTGATCAGTCTGCTCTACTCAGGTGTTGGTGAGGCCACACCTGGAGTGCTGGGTCTGGTTCTGCACCCCCTCAGTACAAGAGAGACCTGGACATGCTGGAAAGGTTCCAAGGTAGGGCCACCAAGATGATGAAGGAACTGGAGCACTTTTCCTATGTGGAGAGGCTGAGAGAGCTGGGGCTGTTTAACCTGGAGAAGAGGAGGCTCAAGAGGGATTTTATCAGTGTCTATAAATACCTGAAGGGAGGTGCAAAGAAGGTGGAGCCAAGCTCTTTTCAGTGGTGCCCAGTGCCAGGACAAGAGGCGATGAGCATAGACAGGAATCTGAACATCATGAAGCACTTCTTTCCTGTGCAGGTGACAGAGCACTGGCACAGGTTGCCCCAAGAGATTGTGGGCTCTCTCTCCTTGAAGGTCTTCAAAGCTGCCTGGACATTTGTCCTGGGCAACTTGCTCTAGGTGTCCCTGTTTGTGCAGACACGTTGAACCAGATGACCTCCAGAGGTTCCCTCCCACCTCAGCTATTATATGATTCTGTGATATATTTAGAGGCTTATCCCATGGTGTTTTTTTCAAATTGAGATGTTTTAGAGTGCTTTTCCAGACAGCTATAGTCCAAGCTGGCTGTCCAACATGCATGATTGTGGGAAAAACAAAGAAAGCAGCCTTAGTGCTGTAGCACATTCCCTGGTCACGTTTCTGGAAAATTAATGAGCTGGGGCCTGAGGAAAAGGGAACTCTAAGTGGCACCAGCAGGTGGGTATCACAACCAAAAGGAAATGAGCTTAAGTATGGATGAGACAAGCATTAAGACAAATGCCCAAATCAAATTAACTTTCATTGTAGAAAAAGCCTGAGTTTTATAAAAACTTTGGCTGGAATGTTTGTGACAGTTCAGACTTTACTGAGGAAATGACCCCAACAGGGCTTTCTGCAGCTCAGGGAGAAATAATTCAAAGCCAGATCCGAGTCTGGAGAAAGTAGTAGGGAAATTCCCAGGTCTTCAGTGCTGTTTACTAATGATGTGTAGTACTGAGAGAAAAACAATGATTTATTATTTTGAAAGAGCAGACATATTGTACCACTAGTAGATGCAAAAAAAATGTTTAAAAGGATAACAGTTCTACAGATACAAATGTTATGAAAGAATGAAAGAACGAACGAAAGAAAAAATGAAAAAAATAAATGAACAAGGAAAAGGAAAAGGAAAAAAAGAAAAAGAAAATAGGAAAAAAAAAAAAAAAGAAAAAAAGGAAAGAAGGAAACAAATCAAGACAAGTTACGTTTAAAATGCCAGGAAGAGAGATGAGGGCTCAGGATGGCTTAGAATGAGTATCTGGCTTTCAGTTTTCATTTTATTACAAGTTATAATGGGGTTTCTTGTATAGGGAGAACAGCTAGTATGGCAAGTTCAGATTTAGTAATTTATGACACTTTTTTTTTTTTTTATTCCCCAGCTTAAAGCTGCCTACTATGCAATAGCCTTTATCTAAAAGACATCTAATGGTACATTTAAGAAGATAAGGAAAAGTAGAGAGAAATCAGGCAGAAAGCAACCCCAAAATAATCAGCAGCCAAAGCAGGCAAGGAAGGAACTAATGTACTGGGAGGAACAGATGAGGTGGGAGCAGTGTGGGTCACCTCAGAGTTCCCCAAAACGTGTAACATACGGGACCTCCTGCTCCCCCCGTTACTGCATGTTCTAGCAAAAAGCAAAGAAGTAAGCAAACAAGTATACCATAATGGAAGCAGATAGAAACTGAAAAACACAAAAACCACAAAATCATGGCATGTTAATATTCAAGGTGTCTATGCTGCAAAAGGAGAAGGCTGTTCCAGCATGTCTAGAATCAGTTTAGAGGCCCAATTTAAGTTTCAGGCTCCCTTTAACCTTCTCCTGGTCTGTATCCCGTTTAGCCTAACATTGGAAATGCATCCTAGAAAATGATCGCATCTCCCCACAAAAGGTGATGTATCAGTTCCCAAGCCAGTTGTCCATTTGCAGTTTCAGCTTGCCCATGGGCAGACAAGCTCCATGAAGGCAGACCCCTACTGGGAAAAAGGCCCCTTAGGGGACCTTAAGCTTTTCTGCATAGATGACGGTCACTTGCTCTACAGCAAGGCAGGGCTTCCCAGTTCCAGACTGTTTGTAGCACTAAGAAAATCTTACACTTGGAGCAAAGCAGGCTTGTAAGTAAGTATGTGGTGAAGATAGATGGCTAAAGAAGATAGGACAAATAACAGGAAAAATGTAGCATCTGGGTTTGGGAAAACGTAGGTAGTGGCAGGGCTGTACCTTTTGGTTCTTAGCTCAATTATGGCAAATTTTGGAACTTGAAGCTACTTCTGAGGGGAGCCCATGGGACTCATCACCACAGTGGACTCCTTAAACAGTCAGCCTAATCCTTGTTTCCTCTACCTCCATCCCTGCAGGTCCTCAGATATTTTCTCCACATTGCCATGGTGAAGAAAGAAAAAGTCCTAAACAAAATACCACATGAAGTGTCACTGGTCAACATACTGTCCTAATAAACAGAATAGGCTTGAACCTGTTCTCATGCTCTGGGAGCAAATGACATGGTACATCTTGTGCAGTACAACTAAACTCTCTTCTTCCATGACAGGGCAGCCTCATCCGTGTTGCCTACCGAAAACAAATCCTGGCTTGTGCTACCTCCTGAACACTGCCAGGGGCACTGCTTGGGAAGACGCCAGCTGGCAGGGGCACGAACCAGGCCAGGAAGCCTGCTGACAATCAAGCAGCAAGGACAGTCACAGGGCAGGGCATGAGCCCGTCTGTGGTCTGGCTCCCTTCAGTATGCTGGTGGAAAAGCCTGGACCCAGCTGCCCACAGTGCTGACCTGCTTACCTTGTTCCCCGCTCCACTTGGATTGCTCCAGCTCTTTTCAGTCTCCTGGGGAGCAGCTAACCTCCTTGAATACTTGCCACTCACTGCCTTTTCCTCAGCACCAAAAAAATGCTGGGCTTAAATGGTGCTTAAAAAAACCTTTTTCAAACTGGCAAGATCTTCTTGACTGCAGACAGTTAGCAGTCCCCCATCCCCTTTCCAATATACTCTTCCTTGTACATGGCTTTACTTAAATGTTTTTCAGCGTCTATGCAAAGTGTTCAACACGAGGACATGCCTAAATGTGATAAAACCAGCCATGCTGAAGCAGTAGTAATGCTGGACATGAAAGAGAAATTTCTAAAGTTACTAGAAAATATAAAGAACAGTTTTATCATACTTAAATAATTTTAAAATATTGTTGAATTAAATTAGCAGGAAGAGCTTTAGACTTTGGTGGGAGTAAACCAGTCTAATGACTGACCTTTAAAAAGTGCCATTTTTTTCAATCTCAGAACATAAGCCTGTGTTGTTTTTTTTTTGATTTTTTTTGTGTGTGTGTGTTCAAGCCAAACCGAAGTAGATTTGATAATAGATGCTCAGTTTTAGTTTTGAGAGTCATATTTTATTTGTGTTTATTTTGTTAAACTACAGAGATATCTTGCATAATGCAGACAAGTACTGTCAGAGACTTTGTAGAAGAATTACAGAACCCTAGACTACCCCGAGTTGGGAGGGACCCACAAGATCAATGAATCCAACTCCTGGCTCCACACAGGACCACCCAAAAATCAGACCATGTGTCTGAGAATGTTGCCCAAATGTTTCTTGAACTGGCAGGCTCGGTGCCATGACCACTGCCCTGGGGAGCCTGTCCCAGTGCCCGACCACCCTCTGGGTGCAGCACCTTTCCTTAACCCCCAGCCTGACCCTGCCCTGTCCCAGCTCCATGCCGTCCCCTCGGGTCCTGTCGCTGTCCCCAGAGAGCAGAGCTCAGCGCCTGCCCCTCCGCTCCCCTCGTGAGGGAGCTGCAGGCCGCCATGAGGCCTCCCCTCAGCCTGCTCTGCTCGGGGCTGAGCAAACCAAGGGATCTCAGCCGCTCCTCATACATTTTCCCCTCTAGACCTTTCACCATCTTTGTAGCCCTTCTTTGGATACTCTCTAATAGTTTTATGACTTATATTGTGATGCACAAAACTGCACACAGTGGGAGGACAATCCCTTCCTTTGACCAGCTAGCAGTGCTGTGCTTGATGCACTCCAGGAGAAGGTTGGCCCTTTTGGCTGCCAAGGCACACAGCTGACCCATATACAACTTATTTACTCATATTTCTTTTACAGCACAGAACACGAAGAAACACGTGGAAAAGATACAGAACGGCCAGCCATCTCCACACAGCGCACACCGGATGGGTGGCATGGCAGCTCTGTGGAGCCCCGTGTCCGCCCTGTTCTTCATTTCTTCAGGGATATGTTGATTCATTTAGTCTATTTTTGCTTCGGGTTTTCAAATGAGCAGCTATTAATTTTTAATTTGCATGAATATATGAACTTGACTCCATGTGGTTTGCTAAAATCTGGCAGCCCCCGAGGTTTTTTTCACAAGTCTACACCTTGTCTTGGTATAGCCATGCATCGTACTGGGCAGTGACACAATTTAATTTACAGCAGAACAGATGCCACAGCTTTGGGATTAAAAAATCTTAAGTTTTGCATGTCGTTTCCTAGGAAACCTTAGAAAGCTGGAAATCACCAAACTGCAACAGTCTGCAGAAGAAAATGTTATTTTTGATCTAGTCTGGAGACCTGTCTTTGATCTAGGCTTGACCTTGGGATCCTCTATTGCCTGTTACAGTCATAAGAATCCATCTGACCCTAAAACACAGGTTATAAAATACTTAATGAGTTTTTTTCTCCTCAATCTCATCCCAATTAAGCGGCTGGGATATTTGTGACTTTTAAAACTTCACAAAGGAAATGACTCAAACCAAACATCTTCCTCTGTGTTTGAATTTCACATTGTCCTTGCAGGTTTTATATGCTGGAAAGCTTTTAGAGTTGTAACTTTATGCTTCATAAGAGGAAATAAATCCATAAACCCCCGATAGAATGAAGAACCGGCACATTCAATCAATATAAACACGTTCTTCCAGCCTCAGTAATTTAAGCCTCCTTATCTTTTGATTAATTTGTATAAAATATATTTGTTTCTTTGAGAGAGTTCTTTCTATACGTGGATTTAAAAACATCCATGCAATCAAGAGCACCACAGAAAAATAAATGCGTTTCCAGATTTTACTAAAGAAATAAAATGTTATTAATAACAGAATTTTATATTTTTATAGAATTTTAATGCACCAAAATAAAAAGGTATGTATCTTAATGTTCTCTGAGCAGCGGCAACTTTGATCTTGAGCACATAAACAGTCAGTCAGTCAATAACTCACAAAAAAAATGTAATGGACTTGAAAAATAATGTATGAGTATTATGAAGCTTCTTAAAACTTTTGTGAGGAAGCTAAGCATCCATTTCTCTCTCTCCACAGAAACATTATTTTAAAAACGATCATTTCTATTTTAATTCATAGTATATAGCTTTTTTTTTTTTTTTTTTTTTTTGGCCCATTTCCTCTATTTCCATGTCATTCTAGTAGATTGTGAAGAACATTAAAACAAATTAAGGAAATCTATTGATTAGATCACCTTCTCGGGATTCAAAAGAAATATGTTCCTCACAGATGTGAGTATCTTGTAATCCTCAGAAGAAGACTATGTATAGAAAAAAATAACAGACTCAATGAGCTGACTAGACTTCTGTGGTCCAAGTATTTCTGTGATTTAGCTCTAACAGAGCATTCAACTGAACAGTGCAGTAACATACCTCTACAAATATCAAAGAAAACCACTTTGATGGTGTATAATAGAATTCATTTGTCAATCTGGTAACTGGAGAAGAAATACTGCGAAGTTTTGGAAGGATGAGACCATACAGCTTTTAACTCTGTT